TACACAGCACCTGCATTCAACAGTGTTAAGCTCCCTGTTGTCCTAAGAATAATAAAGTAAAGTAAAGTAAAGGCCCTCCCGTTGATCGTCGATTTGCTCAAGCGGGCCCAGTAACGTCTCCATTGGAGACTTTGTTGTTACTGTGTCTGGCATATCGAATACTCTCGGTAGCTTGCCGGGCTCCCCAAGAGGGGCGGAGGAATCGAACTCGGGTCGGCCATGTTGGCCGCTTGTAAGGCGAACGCCCTACCCGCTGTGCTATCGCTCCAGCCCTAAGAATAATAGAGCAGAGAAATATGGTTGTCCTTAACTGTTATCCTAAGAATAATAGAGCTGGTGGTATGGAGCCCAGCAGGTCAACCTTTACCTGTGGGGTAAGAGCATAGCAGCCTGATGGTGCCTTTAGGCTTCCTGACACCCCCATTTCTGCTATACCTTTGGACAGACCCCAACAACTTGGGACCAAGTTTACCAAGGAATTAAATGATCAAAAGTTAGGTATGTGGGAGCCAAGCCCACAAACCACCTCTGGCTCAGCTATACAAGCTCATTTATTGGCCTTATTTTAGAGAGCCATAGATAAATCTCGAAAGAGACCAAAAAGCCACAGTTAATCTTAGACCTTCACATGGCTGAACAGACTGGGGTAAATCAGAGGGGACCAGGTTGGCCTGTGCCTGCCTAAGCAGAGCCCCCAGCAGTTGCTTGCTTCCACAATCCAAAATCGCCACCATAACCCCAGCCTGACTCCACCATCTCAGGATAGCCCTTACCAAGATAAAATCTGCTGAAAATTTGGGTATGCAGGTTTTGTGACTGATATCTCCAGACGTTCAGAGTTGGGGTGGGCTACTTCCTCTCACTTCCCAATACATATGGAAACACTGGCAGTCACCCCTACGAACCAACTCCAGCACCATCCTATAAGCTCTATTACTGGCCTTGCTTCAGAGACCCATAAATAAATCTCAAAAGAGATCAAAAGCCAGAGACATAGCAGTGAGTCCTAGAAGACACTAAGAGCTAAAAATCTCTCTGGGCCCAATACAAAGCCAATTTCACCAGGTCACCCCAGATGGAGCAGGTGCACTTTCCCTGCCTACTCCAGATGGAACCCCGGCAACCAAGAGCCTTGACAAGCAAAGCCCAGGTATGACTAAATCTCCATACCACGTGGCAGCAGAGGCACCAGGCTGTCCCTCCTCAGCTCGCTGCCTGCTCGTCTGCCTGCTTGTCACACCTACAACTTGCCTCAGGGTGCTATTTTAGCACACCAGCAGCCCTAATCCAGAGATGCCCAATTGAATCCCAAAATGGATTAGTGCCCAACAGAAGTATCTTTGGAACTCAACCATTTACAATCTACGACTCTAGAAGCACGCAGCCGTGAAACCCAAGATATTCAAAATGAGCAACCGACAATAAATGATCTAGCGTCTCTCTCTGGCAGGCAGGCTTGAATGGTAGTGGGAAAATTGGAGCAAAACATAATGCCCCAAAGCAGAGAGAGAGTATTGGGAAAATTGCCTGCATTGGAAGAAGGGTAAGGATGTGTGTGTGTGTGGGAGGGGGGGAGGGCAGGGGTATACGGAGGACACCAGTGGTGGAGGGATGGCTGTTTGAACATTGTGCGACTGAATCTCGAAAATGAAAGCTTTGTAACTGTATTTCATGATGATTAAATAAAAAAATAAAATGAAATAAAGAATAATAGGACAGAGAAATATGACTTATGAAGGCTTACGAAGAAGTAATTTTTCTTCTGCAGTTTTCTCAGAGAAAAGCAAAATCAAGGGTCATGTGAACTGTCCATTTACATTTAATTAAAATTACAAAGCCTAAACCACTACTTTTCTTCACAAATATTTACATTACATAAATAGAGTTTCTGATCATTAAAGTACATTTCTGAGCAATGAAATCTGAAATTAGGATGAATAAATATAGGTTTAGTATTTTATTCCCAAAAGGTCACTGACCATTGATTTTGTAGCTGAATCCTAAAAGTAGTGTGCTTTGCATATAGAAAGGAAAAATAAAAATCAAAAGTTTAAGTATCTAGAGCAAATATTTTGACAAAAGAAACGATTTTTATCCTTAAGAACAAAGTTTATTTTTTTTCTTTTTAAGATAAATCTCAATTGTATTTCATAGATCATAAACTGGTATTTGATAAAACTGTTCTAAGAAAATAAAGAGTCAAATATATAAGTGCTATTCCATGAACACATTTGTTTTCTTGATTTAAAAAATAAAAGATTCTCATTTTCTCTGATGGGACAAAAATAGAACATTGTGTAAATCACTATCTCTTTAATGACTTTTCTCTTTCTGTAAACTCTCTCATCTCAGAGTTCTACTTACATTTGTGCCTTTAAAAATGCTAATGATGCCTTTCAATCTAATGGTGTGCATTTTTTGGGAGGCAGTAGAACCCAATTTAGATTTGCCTAATTAGCATTCAGAAGGCAATGAGAGGTTAAAGATCCTTTAAACTGCTTGCCAAAATATCTCTTTCATTCATATAATACAGACTATTTAATTCAGTAAAATTTTTATTTAAGATATTCTGGTTAAAGAATATATATATGTGTGTGTGTGTGTGTGTGTGTGTGTGTGTGTGTATGTACATTGAGATGAGACATAAATCAGACAAATCATGATACAGCAAATAAGAGTACAGCATTTTGAAACTTAAACTGTTATTGAACATTAATATATTACAATGAACATTGGCTTGGGGCTAAAAAATATTAACTAGATATTCACTCTACTCTCTTACAGGGGATCAACTGAAGAAATATTAAAGACAAAAGTGCTCGGTCTTTAAAAAAGCAATAGTAAACACATTTAAATAAGTATACTCAGGGACACTGCTGGACACTACTTTAACAAAAGCTTTAATTCTTATCACTTTTCTCTCTACCCACCTCTAATTCCTCTACTGTGCCACCCCAATTGCTATTGCTCCTGAATCACACCCAAGATATTTGTTCAGCTGCTCTGTAGTCTGAATATGATGCTGCTGCTGCCATTACTAAACTTGAATGCTTGGTGCTGGGACTGAGTCGTACAATACATTCTACTATTACTTCTCCTGCCCCTCCTGCTCATTTGTTAAGCAGATGGTCAGGGTAAAAAGCACATCTGTGACCATGACAAAAAATGTGTTTTCTTTGCAACCCTGACTGCTCTAACTAGGGAATAAATGTCAGGCCCTCACCTGGTAGCCTTTCTTCTAATACAACAACATAATCAGTCCAGATTCTATGTCAATAAATTAAGAAAACAATAATGCATACCCAAGGAGAAAATAATCAGATTCAATATGATAGTTGTTTGGGCAATATTTACTCAGGGCAATATCCAAGAAAGAAAACATTAAGAATTTCAAAGTAAAGGACAAAAGACAAGTTAAGTTAGGAAAAAAAAAATTAATGAGTAGTTGAAGTGCTGCTGATATTTACAGTAACGGTAAAGAGAAAATGATGGGCAAAACTGGTAAACCTAGAAGTTCAAAATCGAAATCTGAAAGCCAGATAGTAACCATAATTCATATTTTCTAGTGTGATGTTAAGTACAATTTTATGCATTCTTTAATTATAATATTTCTCAAAACTAACCTCAGTTTATGGGTTTTGGAATCAAGAATTCATTGAAGTTAAGTGAATTTTCCAGGATTGTAAATATCTATCATATCTTTCAAGGTTGAATCCTTAATAATTTAAATGAAGTTAGGCAAGGGGCTGGAGAAATAGCACAGTGGGTAGGGTTTTTGTTTTGCACGCGGCTGACCCAGGTTCGATTCCCAGCATCCCATATGGTCCCCTGAGCACCGCCAGGAGTAATTCCTGAGTGCAGAGCCAGGAGTAACCCCTGTGCATCACCAGGTGTGACCCAAAAAGCAAAAAATAAATAAATAAAAAATAAATTAAAAAAATAAATTTAAAAATAGACCTTTCTTAAAAAAAAATGAAGATAGGCCAGAAAGAGTACAAAGGGTAACGTCAGGTGGGTGCCTGACCCCAGTTCAGCCTGACATCTATATGACATCTATATGACCCCCAGAAGCACTGCCAGGACTGATCCCTGAGTAAGTCCTGAGCACTGCTGAGAGTAATATTTTATCCCCCACCTAAAATTAAAACAATTAAATTGATGATGAAATAAAGGAAAAATTCTAAAAAGCAAATAAAGAATATTTCCCCAAATGCATATATTTTAAAATAATACATTTCACTATTTAGACTAAATTAATGTCTAGATGTATGTAAACACATAAAGCATATAGACATGTAACAAATATTGTTCTCTACAAAACAACATATTAATGAATATAAATATGAACATTGTTGCTTATAAATAAAAATAAGCATATGTACAATTGATTTGGTTAGCATATTTCATTTAATATATAATTATTTTAGCTATTTTAAATCTCCATATATATTATATATTGAAATATTTGCAATGTCTATCATTTATGTTATCACTGACATAAAATGATTCATTGTACGTAGCAGTCAATGTTCTCTTACCTTTTTGGGAAATCAAATAGAAAGATTTTGATACTTCTATCTAATTATTCAATGCAAATATAATTGCATTTTAGCATTATTAATATGGTTCTCAGCTATATAATTCTATGGAGCTAGAAATTCTATGTAGCTTTAGATTACTCATCTTCTATGCCTTACACTGAGATACAATAGATTTTGTTTATACATTTGTTTATTTTTAGCATTTAGGTTATACCTAGTAATACTCAGAGGTTACTCCTGGCTCTGCACTCAGAAATTACTCCTGACAGTGCTCAAGAGACCACATGGGATGATGGAAGTGAATCCAGTTGGCCACATGCAAGGCAGTCACGCTACCCACTATACTATCTCTCCAGCCCTTAGCTAAAATGTTTGTGTATTGAAGTAAACATTCTCACAGGGAAAAAAAAACACATTGGATTATAACTTTAAAAAAACATTAAAAATGCATAAACTGCTTTAAAATATGATCACTTCATGAATTCACATGCCGTTCCTGCACAGGGACCATGTTGATCTTGTCTGTAGCTTACCAAGTTTAGTCTATTTGCTGCCAAAGTGAGCACACTGATAAACTTCTAAGGATTTTTCTTTCAAGATAGCATTATAACACTGTAGCACTGTCCTCCCGTCGTTCATTGATTTGCTCAATCAGTCACCAGTAACTTGATGTTACTGTTTTTGGCATATCAAATACACCACGAGTAGCTTTCCAAGCTTTGCTGTTAGGGCAGGATACTCTGGGTAGCTCGCCAGGCTCTCTGAGAGGGGCGGAGAAATTGAACCTGGGTGGGCTGTGTGCAAGGCAAACACCCTACCCGCTGTGCTATCGCTCCAGCCCTCTTTCAAGGTATCAAGGAGATACTACAAGGGGTAAGAAATGTTCCAAATATGTAGCTTACTTGTCCCATGCCTGAAATTCCATACGGGACTGATGCCTTGAATGATCACTGCCAGGAGTGATCCCTGAGTAGAATCAGGAGTAAGACCTGAGCCACACGAGGTTTGACCCCAAAACAAAACAAAACAAAAACATATCAGAGCAGATAAAAGCAAAGGCTGAATACATTGAAAAGTAAATTAGTTTACTCTATTAGAGAATGACAATTGTACAGATTTTTGTTTCGTTTTGTTTTATTTTGAGGCCATATGGCTCCTCTCAGTGATCATACCTGATGGGCTCTGGGGACAGTAAGTGGTGCCATGGGTAAAACCTAGGTCAGTCCTACTTTCTGTACTATTGCTGTGGCCCGAGAACTGTAGTTTTAAAAGTTAACTAGGTAAAGGAATAGATGAAAAATGCCATTATGGACCCACATTCCACATTCACCACCATTTAAGCTGATCCATCAGCCAAGCTTTTTACATACTCATGATTAAATCTTGTAAGAGATCAACGAGTTACAAAAATCCATGTGTTCCTCCTGGGAATATATCCCAGAGAGGCAAAAATGTATAGTCGAAGTGACATCTGCACTTGTTTGTTCATTGCAGCACTCTTTACAATAGCCAGAAACTGGAAGAAACCTGAATGCCCAAGAACAGATGACTGGTTAAAGAAACTTTGGTACATCTACACAATGGAGTACTATGTAGCTGTTAGAAAAGATGAAGTCATGAAATTTACATATAAGTGGTACAATATGGAAAGTATCATGCTAAGCGAAATGAGTCAGAAAGAGAGGGATAGACATAGAAAGATTGCATTCATCTGGGGGATATAAAGTAACAAAGTATGAGATTAATACCCAAGAATAGCTGAGATCAGCACCAGGAGGATTACTCCATAACTTAGAGGCCAGCCGGGTATCCTAGAGGAAAGGGCAGTTCAGATAGAGAAGGGAGCACCAAATAAAGGATGTTTGGAGGATCCTCCCAGGAGGGGAGATGCATGTCGAAAGTAGACTATGGACTGAACATGTTTGCCACTCAATGCCTCTTTTGCAGACCACAACACCCAAAAGGAGAGAGAGAACACAGGGGATTGCCCTGCCACAGAGACAGGGGGGATGGGGGGATGGGGGTGGGAGGGATATTATCCATGGTGGTGGAAAATGGGCACTGGTGGAGGGATGGGTATCTGATCATTGTATAATTGAAACCAAAGCACAAAAAATTGTAAATCTACAACTTTAAAAAAAATAAAATAAAATAAAGGGGAAAAAAAAATCCATGTGTTCTCTGGTCTCTTGTCATAGTTCAAGTGGTCATAGTTATAGACTGAATACAGCAGTGTAAAGTATATTTTACCCTATTTACTTAGGATAACCCTAGCAAGGATAGTTTACAATTAGAAAATTATATACAGTGCAACATAAATTATACTTAGATGGTATATTTATTAAATTACTTAATAATATTTTATACCAATTTATCACTACTAAAAGTCGTCACTGTCACTGTCACTGTCCTCTTGTTGTTCATCAATTTGCTCTAGTGGGCCCTAAAAATTTAAAAAAATAAATTAATCTGAAAATTTAAAACAGCAGTGTGAAGGATAGTGAGAAATTGAGAGTCAATTTACAATATAATTTCTAATTCTGGAGAGAATCCATTTTTCATTTGTGTTTTGCTTTTACTTCATATTCCAATGACCTTTTAACAGGAATACAAAGGGGAAGATCTGAGATTTTTCTACTTTACATAATTCTTCCTTGTGTTTGATTACTTTTCCTTGAAGTGTCCATCCCTAACGCTTCTTACAACCTTTGACGCCATTTAGCCTATTTTATTCCATTTGTAAAGAAAATATGTTTAATATTTTATGATGGTTTCATGATGATACCACTAATTTATTAATCTCCAAACTACAGATTCTTATTATTTTCATTTCATCTTTTACATGTTGCTATTTCCATCAGTGATGGCATTTGTGCAATATTACACTTTATATTTGGTGGACTTAAACATGAAAGTGCATAATCAATACAAAAATCAACATAATTTCCTGTGCAATATTTGCCTTTTTACATTATAAAGATATAAAATTCTTGAAAATTTTTAAAGTCTTTAAAGATTCTTTCAGCATTTTATTAAATAAATTAAGGTATGTATATATAAGAAAACACAATTCATTGATTCAAAATGATAAAGATAACAGATTCATGACTCTTAAATTGCTAAAACTTTAGAAATTTTATTGCATATAATAATTTTTAATATTATGTTATCACTTTTTAATAAAAATGTATAACATACAATTTGTGATGCCTTCGCCACACTTTGTAATGGATTTCATTTAATTAAATTTGGAACACTCATGGAGGGAAACTAATAAATTTCTAACTTTCACCTTCAATAGTGTGAACATGGTCATTTGCATTCTTATTATTCATCACAGCTCATGAAATTAAGCATTTGCATGCACCATTTAAAAAGGAATGTGGAAAATGTTTCACATTTTAAGTTCACAGGTGTCACATCTTCTAATTGTCCTAGTACTAATAAAATATGTGTCTTCCTAATGATACAGCATTCTGTACAAGAGAAAAGAAACCATATGATTATATGAATGTTCTTGTCCTGAAAAAAAGCACTAGAAAATTAATTTACTATGGTTTTATTTATGGGTGTGGACCTTAAAATGTTAAATAAAATATTACATATATTATAATTCTACTAATATTTGTTAAAGCTGATATCTGCATAAATGTATGTATGTGTGAGACATACTCACGAGAAACAGTGGGGGACTGATGAGCAGGAAGAATAGAGAAGGTTGGGAAATGGAGAAAATCGGGTGACTCCTAGGTAATTAACATTCTAGAGTGTGGGTACGAATTCAAAATGATTCTTCAAATAATTGAAACATTACTCCCTTCAATATTAACTCATTTTAAAATTTCAATTGGCATACTGAGTCAGAAGTAGTAATAGTCTATCAAAATGAGCAAGGAAAAATAAGAGAAATTTGGAGAACGATATATTCAAAAATTCTAAAAATGTGGGAAGTCAGCTATCATCTCATGATTCATATGTTCTATTTTCTTATCAAAGGGACATATCATACAGATAACACTGAAAGGTTTTTGTCCCTTTAATTTTTAATCCATGACTCAAATAAAGCTGAAGTATTAGAAGTGACATAGAAACACTAGTAGTTGTACTAAAAACAGCATGAATATATATTGGTTTTATATGGTCAGGAGCGATAACACAGCAGTAGGGCGTTTCTCTTGTGCTTGGACTGTGGGGCCAAGTTGGATTCAATTCCTCCGACCATCTTGGAGAGACTGGCAAGCTACCAAGAGTATCTTGCCCGCACGGCAAAGACTGGCAAGCTACCTGTGATGTATTTGATATGCCAAACGCAGTAACAAGTCTCACAATGGAGACGTTACTGGACCCCCTGGAGCAAATGGATGAGCAATGGGAGGACAGTACTACAGTGCAATGTCATTCAATTTACTCAGAATAAATAAGCTTAAAGCCAGTATATTAAGCAGAGTATGACTGAGTAAGCTATTAATGGTAGTGTTCTTTTCTTAAACCAAGACATTCTTATTTATAAAAATAAATATAGGTGAATATTCATTTATAAACCTAAATCAGAAATAAAAATACAACATAGATATTTGGAAATATAACATGGTTTTTGATAGCTAAATGTGACATTAAACTAGTTTACTAGTTTTATGACAATAGCTGTTTCAAGCAAGACAAATACTGTGTAGCATAATATACATAAAACTTTATATATATACATATATATATATACACACACACGTATACATTGAACTGTCATAAATGCCTCTTGCTATATCACACTGACATATTCCTCATCTTGAAATCTTAAATAAGTCCTGCATTAATGGTCATCAGTGTTATCAGTGATAATAAGTTGATTTTTAATTTTTTTGTGTGTGTTTTGAAAAGGTCTATACCCAGAAATGCTCAGGGTTTACTCCTGGCTCTGCACTCAAGAATTACTCTTGGCAGTGCTTAGAGGACCTTACGGGACCATGCTGGGGATAGAATCTGATTTATTCAGGTTCAAGGCAAGCACCCTACCAGCTATACTATAACTCCAGCTTTGTTAGAATAAGTTTAAGCATAGCATCATAATGGAATATGAGGATAATTTAGTTTGTAGGGCAGTAATGATACAAAATTAGAAAAACTAAAATAGTATTTAAAAATTAAAGTTTTATTTGCCTCTTCCACCAGAAAAGGTATCAATGATGATATGTGAAGAAAGTTAACAGAAATCATCACAGTAGCTTTTTCATGCAATAAACTGGGTTTAATGCTTTACACATAAACATAGATAATGTAATATTATATAATTATAAAATTATTTTATAGTAATTTAATAATTGAACTCAAGCTTAGCATAGCTTCAAAGCTTGCTTTAAATATTTTGTTGCTTTAAATGGTAAAAATTTGCTACTAGATGGGAAAAAAATATCAACACACTATTCACCTTATAAAGGGGTAATATCCAGGTTACATATAGGACCCATAAATACAAAAATTTAAAAATATCAAATAATGGAGGGAAGAGTTTAACACTTATTCAAAGGTCAACAGACAAATGAAAAAAAAAATCCTCAGCATCACTAATTAA